GCGGGATCCTGGAAGGTCGCCAAAGGACCTGTGAAGGTTCCCACCCGGGCAACGTTTGAGACCCGCGTATATTTTTGTTTGGAGTTAATAAACGCCTGTGTTCAACCAACCTGCTCTTTCCGTCCCTATTTGAACCCTGTGTGAGCGGAGAGGCTCACAAAGAAATTTGTCTTTTGACATTTTATTTGTTAAATCCCAACGTCATCTCTTCGTTCTTTGAAATTTTTTGGAAAATACCATTTCCAATTGTCCATTATCAGCTATGAGACATTATACTACTGTATGGCAATACTGCCCATGTCACTACATTTCATTCACATTACAGGTCAATTGTTAGATGCTTTTATCCAAAGTGATTTACGTATTCAAAACTGTGGGTAATCATCACGAGATAATTTGATGTGAAGTGTCTTGCCCAAGGACTCAGCAGAATGATGACTGCAGCGGGATTTGAAGCAGTGTCCCGCTGATCCAAAGGTCAGCGCACCAATGCATTGAGCCACAATCCAAGTTCCCCTTTTTTCGCTTAGTTCAGTCATTATACATATTTGATTTTGTGTTGAATTAAGTTAACTTAAACTGTATAAGATCCACCATACATATTCATTGTTTTCAATGTAAAGCAATAAAAACGCCTTCCTTATCTTTAAAGAAATAAGTTTACATTGTTGGGAAAATACTAGCAGTTAGATGAGAAGATTGATACCACTCATATGTATCTATGCTAAATATGTAGCTACTGTACAGCTAAAGGTGCTTATATCATCTTAGCATAAAGTACGGAAAACAGTACTTCAGGCAACAAAACATCTTGTTAAAAGATGAGTATTTTGTTAACATAAGGATATTTGTTAAGTTACTCTAGCAGAAAGGGGGACAATAAATTAAAAGTACAGAATTGCCTTTGTCCACCCTGACAGGAAATGAAGGTGGGGAAGGAGATCAATGACACACCTATAAACTGTGGGAGGGATAGAAAAAATGTACACAAGCAGCATGGAGGAGATCACAGAGAAGAGTGACAGTGGCTTTATTCTGAAGTTGCATTCTGTTTATTGACATTTTTGCATTTGAAAAGAGAAGTAAACAGTGGGGACTATAAAAGTCAAGAAAGTCAAGAAAGCAGTGATCCAAGAAACGTCTGGATTTGGCAAACTTTTTTCTGGAAAACAAGGCACTGCTAGTGGTTTGCTTATCCCTGGAGCCGGTGGGAGGAATTTCATCTTGTTCACTCTGGACCTGTTTGGATGCAACTGTGGACTTCATTGCCTTTCTGTGGACATTACGGTAAGTCTCCTTCACTGAAACTCGCCACACTGCTCCCTTTTTCTCCACATTAACCCCTCACTCACACACAGACAACCCACTGATCTGAGCTTTATTTCTTTTTGATTAGAAAGGACAAAGAAATTGCCCCTCCCCCACTAACCGACACACCAGAGGCGGGAAGTAGGCAACTAAGTACATTTACTCAAGTACAGTACTTAAGTACCATTTTGAGATACTTGTACTTTACTTGAGTATTTCCATACACCTTTTTACTTCTACTCTACAGTTCAGAGGTAAATCCTGTACTTTTACTCCAATACATTTATTGAATTAATACCTTTAGTTACTTTACAGATTTGGATTGATAATGTGAAATATAATCAACACTTAAAAAGGACTTTAGTTACACCTGGGGTAAATTCACAAGCAGCCCTGCAGTATACTAAGTCATTAAAACTAGCTGCTCCTTTACCAGCTTTGATAAACACTTTAACATCAATAATTATAATCCAAACATATAATATATTATTCTGAAATGGGGGCATCTGCATAATGACTACTTTTACTCTTGCCACTTTAAGTATATTTTTATGCTAATACTTTTGTACTTTTATTTGAGAAAATGCAGGACTTTTACTTGTAATAGAGTATTGATAAACTCTGGAACTAATGCTTTTACTCAAATACGAGACCTGAGTACTTCCTGAGGACCTATTGTCACTCAAACGGTTCTCTTTTCCAGGCCTAACTAAGCAGATGTGTTGCCTGAACCAACGGGGAGATTTCGGCCAGAAACCGCTAACGTCTCCCATTTTCACCTCCACCAATAAGGTAAGGTTTTCTCACAAGTTTTTTTTCTTTTTTTTTCTTATGCCTGGTGGCTGTGTGGTATAACATTGTTTACTCCACTTATCAAAAATGTATGGATAAAATGTAACAAGTGTTAGGGAATAATTCTTCCTTACTCCTAAGATATTTAACCTTTTCTGTGTGTTGACGTTTACGACCAACCCTGAGTCCGTTGTCTGTCTTAAGAAATGGGAGGGTTCAGCTATCGTTGATATTATCGGTCACAGAGGGTTTTTATGAATGTGAGAACGCTGGCTTCTAAGCACCATATCATTCAAGACAACTCAAACATACATTTCAAACATTTGCTAAAACAATATCTGAGAACTACAAATTAAATTTGAACTGTAAGTACAGTTCAAATTTAATTTGTAGTTCTCAGATATTGTTTTAGCAAATGTTTGAAATGTATGTTTGAGTTGTCTTGAATGATATGGTGCTTAGAAGCCAGCGNGAGCGAGAGAGGAAATTAGCAACGACCATCCGGTTACCCGGCCTGTGGATCACCTTGAAGTTGAAAGGCTGTAACGCCAGATACCACCTAGTGATCCGAGCGCTGGCATCCTTCATGCGGTGGAGCCACTGGAGCGGGGCATGGTCCGACCAGAGGGTGAAAGGGCGCCCCAGGAGGTAGTACCGCAGGGCGCCGACCGCCCACCGTATGGCGAGGCACTCCTTTTCCACCGTACTGTAGTTCACCTCCCTCTGGGCGAGCTTACGGCTAATGTACACAACGGGGCGGTCGACCTCCTCTACCTGCTGGGACAAAATGGCTCCCACCCCACTGTTCGAGGCGTCGGTCTGCAACACAAAAGGGAGGGAGAAGTCAGGAGAATACAGAAGCGGCTTACCACAGAGGGCTTTTTTAACTCTCTCAAACGCCAGCTGACTAGACCCTCCAGAAAAACGCGGGCAAAAATCCTTGATTATGCGGGCTAAATTCCTTGATTATGCGGGCTAAAATCCTTGATTATGCGATAAAACATGCGGGGTTTTATGTGATTTTATGCGGTTGAAGACTGCGGGAAGTTGCGAAATATGCGCGAAAGTTGCGAAATATAGTGCTAAATATGCCGGGAAAAATCGATTTTTTTTAAAATATATTTGGGCTGTCTTATTATTCTCTCTCACACGCCAGAACCTGCCCTTAACGTTAAACCCCTTTACTATGTCAATTAAACACATTTGCAAATGGTTTGATTCTTATTTGTAAAAAGCAATTGGGCTATTTTAATCTCGACGCACGCACGCACACACACACCACACACACACACACACAACACACCAACGACACACACAGGCACACACACAACACACACACACACAACACACACAACACACACACACACCACACACACACACCACCAACACACACACACACCACACACACACACAACACACACCACCACACACACACACACACTTCTCGCCTCATTCTCGTTTTCATGTACTCGCTCGTTATCTGCAGCTTCAATCTGTAGGCTTACTTCACCTTCGTTTCTGTAGCCCTCGAAAAAGGGTTTTGGACGGTTGATGTCTCGTGGAACGTGAGTTGTTTGGCTTGGTTGTGCGGCAGCAGCAGAAAGCATTTTCGAATGGTTTGAATGAATCAAAGTTTCGTCAGAAAAGTTGTGTTCCTGTGTGTTTGCTGTGTCGTCTGTTGGTGGTGCGTCCATACGAGCATAGTGTCTACTTTGGCAGTAATGTTTCCCCCCACTTGTTGCCGGTCTTTAGGTAGAAATGTTCGTCTGGTAATGAGATG